CGTGGCAGCTCCGGCCCCGGACTATTTTGAGCGGGAGGGGAGCGGCCCAGCCGTGGTGTTTTCGGCTTTTTCCTGGCCCCCGGCCCGTCAGCCCCGGCCCTCGGCCGCCCGCGAAGGGGTGATCACGTGGCAGGGGCGGGAAGGGCCGCCAGGATCCAGCTCCGGCCCTGGCCCGGCCCGAGAGGCCCCCAGCCGCGGTCCGGACCTGCGCGCTCAACCCAGGCCGAGCGGCGGATTATTAATAGCGCGCCTGGCTCTAGCAGAGGCTCCAGGGCGCCCGCTACCTGCACGCCCCTCCTCCGACGAGCGCAGGCGGCCAGGGCACTCCCTCCCCAGCGGCGGACTCGGGCCTCACTGGATAGCGCCACTGTGCTCCAGTGGCCAATCACTGGCCTCGATTTCCTTACCTGTAAGTTGGGGTTAGGCTGCCCGGCTTTAGTGGTGGGTACCATGCAAAGTTTTTGCTTACTGTAAGCCTCTGCTTGGGCAAAACACCTTCACATTGGGAAGCTTTAGTTTTCCCATTTATTAAGTGAGAGGGTGCAAGTAGGTCTGTTGGGGGGTGAAGGTTCCTTACATCCCAACAATGCATTTTCACTTACAATCCACTTGAGCCCAGTGACTACCTGATGGCAATAGCCAGTGCATTATCAGCATGTATTAACTCATTTGATTATAAGGGTCCCATTAAAAAGGTAATATCCCCTTTTTGCTGATGAGGAAACTGAAGCTCAGGAAAGTCAGACTGCCAAAGTTCATATGGTAGCATATCCCAGAGTCAGACAAACTAGTTTCAGAGTCTGAGTTAACCACTGCACTCCTGACACAGCAGAACAAAACATGCTTTTTAAAAAAAAAAAAAAAAAAGAGGCAGAAACTGAGGCTCTAAGTGTGATTTTTCCCAAAGCTGCCTTTGATCATTTAATGGCACAAGTAGGTACCCAACACAAATCTAACTCCTACTCTAGTGCCCTACTGCACCCCTTTGTTAGTTCCTGTTGGAGGGGTCCCCAGGATAGAATACTAAAAGATGGGTACCAAGCTGTGTCCAGCAGCGTTGAGATCACCCTTTGCTTTCAACCATCAGTCCAGCTCTCCAGGATTTATTAGTCCCTCAAATTCTAGATCCACCCGCAGCCTCACAGCCAAAGGGATGTCGGGGTAAGGGAAGATGACAGACAGGGGGAACAGCCTAGGATAGTGCCTGGAGCTGCTTCCTGTTCCCCCCCAGCAAGGAAGCACAAAGGCTGGCAGGCCCCCCACTCCGCCCCGGAAACCTGCCGGTTTATTTCTGTCTCTGGGCCCCCTGTTTCCACAGAGTCAGTCCAGGAAGACTGGCAGCAGCTGGCTTGGCGGGTGGAGCTCTTGCTCCCTCAAGGGTCCAGCTGCCACCCTGCCCTCCCCCACTTGCCAGGCTGGAGCAGACTCCAGAGTCAAAGATGACTTTGGGATGAGGGAAGGAGGCAGGAGGAGAAAGTCAATGCTCAGAGGTGACAAGAATGCCCAGAGACCCAAAGAAATGTCTCCTGAGGCCAGTCAGAACTCCAAGGGAGGGAGTTACCCCTAAACCAAGAGCCCAGGTGCTCTCCCAAGTCCAGCCAGTCTACAACCAGTGCAAGTCTGCTAAGGGTGTAATCTCTAGCATACCCATTCTGGCTCATGACTCCTCTGGACCCAAATCCCAAAGGAAAGCCTGCTTCTAAACCTCGCTGTCCATACAACAACCACTAACCATATGTGGTTACTGAATACCAAGAAAGGGGTTAGTCCAAAACAGGATGTGTTGTGTCTTACCATAAAAAAAGGTAAAAGATGGCAATAATTTTTACTATTACATGTGGGAATGACTTTTTGATATATGGGGTTAGATAAGATACATAATAAAAATTTCATTTTAAAAATTTTACTTTTTGGGCCAGTCAGATAGCTGAGGATTAAAGCGCCTGTTTAGACAGACGCAGGGACCGGGGTTCAATCCCGGCCATGCTGGTCCCACCCCTGGGGTGCCCGGAGACGGGTATGGTGGCATACACCCCTGTAATCCCAGCACTTGGGAGGCTGAAAACAGGAGGATCACTACAAGTCCCTGTAGACCCTATATACATTAAAAAATAATAAAATTACTTTTTATTTTGTCTAATGTGTGTATGAGAAAATTTGAAATTACATATATATATATAATTTTTTTTTTTTCTGTACTGGGGATTGAACTTGGGACCTTGCACTTGCCAAGCCAAGTGCTTATTCTACTGAGCTATCTCCCTGGTCCCTTCTATTGTATTTCTACTGCGTAGTGCTATTCTGGATCATAAGGTGCTCTGGTGTAGGGCCAAAACCGTTTGCTCTGATCAGTGCTTGTGTGGCTTTCACTCACCTACTTCCCCATATCTAGACCTCAGCCTTATGTGTGCGTCTAAATCTCACTACCCCAAATAACTTACCCCAACTTTCTGCGAGTTTAGGCTCAGCCAGAGATTATAGCTGAGTCTGTTTAAAACCATTATCTGATATATTTCTTCTTCATCAGTTCCCAATAGTTAGATCCCCAGCAAGAGGGTGGCTCTAGAGCACTAGTGGCAAACCTATGGCACTTGTGCTGGCTGTCTGTGTCACTGAAAACTCAAAAAGGTTTGCCATCACTGCTCTGGATCATCTTCCATGTTAACCTGTGATGGACTTAAATTGCAGTCTGACACCCTAAACTTGTTTGCTTAGATTACTGTTTAATAAGGTTTAAATCTGCATGCACCCTCAGGAGGAATAAGGCTCTACATTAGGAAATGGCAAACTATGGCCCATGGGCTAAGTCTGGCTTCTTGTCTGATTTTATAATTGAGGTTTGACTGGCACACAGCCTGGCTCATTTATTTATGCACTGACTATGACTACTTTCAAGGTATCAGACAGAGATTGAATGACTTACAAGGCCTACATTTTTTACTATGTGGCTATTTACAGAAAGAGCTTGTCAAATGACCAAGTCCCACCCACCATAAATCTGTATCCTAATCTGACACCACTGCCTAGCTAATATAATCTAGATCATCTTCTGTTGTGCTTGTAGATGGTGCTGCTCTGCCAACCAGGATCTAAACCAGGGCCTAACATGGGGCCCATAGTACTAGGGTTCCAGATTATATTCTGATCTCAGTAGATGGGACCCAGGATTCCTTTCTGGAATGGAAAGAGTGTTTCTACTTCTGAACTTCCTTAGAGAGATCAAGGCCCACAGGCTCTTCTCAGTGGCCTTGAATGGGGAGGGAGGGTAAATTCCAGAGACAGCACTGGAGGTTGAGTCAAAGAGTCAAGGATAAGCCCCTGTCAGGGGGTAGGGAGGGCATGAACATAATCAGGCCATGAAGCTAGAGTACCATACTTCTACATTCCATCTTTTTCCAGCAGGCCCCAGAGAAAGTCACTGGGGGATCAGAGGAGATAGATACCACACCCTCTGGAAACCAGGCCAAGGAGTTCCAAATAAAAATTTTTACTGGCCCTCACCTCCAGTTGTCTGATGCCTCACCACAGAACTGAGTTGGCATCATTACCCTTTCTTTCCTTATCCCTAACTCTGTCTCTCCTTGGCTTTCTTTAAAAAAAAAAAAAAAAAAAAAAAAATCCTCCCTAATCTGCCTCCTTTCCTACCACTTCTCCCTCCTTGGCCCTAGAATCCTAGGCCGGCCTTAGTGGTAAAGATCTTAAGCTCTGGAACCAACAAGCCAGACTTAAAATTCTAGCTCTGACTCTGGATAAATCACCTCTAGACTTCCTCAGCTTCCTCATCTGTAAAACAGAATAAATATAATGGTATTTATTTCATAGGGTTATGCCACAACTTTTTAAAAATTTTTTAATTTTAATTTTTTTTATGCCACAACTTTTAAAAAAGTAGACCACTTTGCCCAGTACCTGCCCTAGGATGAGTATTTAATGCTAGCTACTTTAAAAATAAAATTACTAGTGATCATCTAGCTTGGTTCCATGAATGGATTTTGGCAGTTTTGTAAACCTCAAAAAATGTTAACTAAAAGTGGCTTTTGTATTCTTCTGGAGAGATGGCCCTGAACCCTCTCATCATTTTTTCAAAATGGATCCACAGCCTAAAATGTTCAAAGGAGGTGGGGGGTGGCAAGGAGAGTACCTTTAGTTAAATCAGAATGAGAAAACAGGAGAGGAGAGGGAAGGGAGCAGCTCCAGTTCCCTCAAAACATCAGGTTCTGTCTAAAAAAACAAAAGGCTAGAGCCTAGGAGAACCACCTCCAGGCTTTCCTCCTTTCACCGTCCAAGCTATTCTCCAAGCTGACCTCATCATTCTCACCTGCACAACTGTGACAGCCTCCCACTGGGTTCCCCACCTCTAGCCGCCTCCATGGAATCTCCTCCACCTGGTGCCAGATATGTGTATCTTCCTCAAATCCCATTCCCATGACACCTAGTTCCTGCCCTGCAACCTTTAATAGCCCTCTACTGCTGAGGACAACATCAAGGCTGAGGTCTCTGGCCTGACACTCAAAGGCCTTCACAGCCAGCTCTGGCCCAGCCAACCTCCTTGCTGTTCCCTCTCATTTGGTCAGTAGGCTGACTTCCTCCTCTCCTCCCTTTGCTCCCCTCACTTGCAACACCACCCACACACTCCCTCAGTTCTGGACAGATTGTGCCCCTCTGTTCAAGCACGCAGTGTCTCGGACCTAGCCTGCTGCCCCTGCTCTATCCTTGGGCTTGCTCCTGGCTCTAGCTGCTCTCTGAGCTCACCCTGAGGAGGCCAAGCCAAGGTATGCTGAAGACAGCTCTGGTTCCAGGAAGCAGGCCTCTGTGCCTGGACACTGACATACAGGTTTTTGTTTTTTTAGACAGAGACAGGGTCTCACTATGTAGTTCAGTCTGGCTTTGAACTCACTGTGTAGCCGAGCCTGGCTTGGAACTCCTAGTGATCTTCCTGCCTCAGCCTACGAGTGCTGGATTACAGGGATGTACAACCACGCCCAGCGACACTGACCTACCTTAACACTGTGCCTATCTTCTACAATGCAGCTCCATACTGTCCTCTATGCTTTCAGGAACAGAACTTCCTTTGTTACAGAACCACAGGGATTCAGCCAGTATAGCACTGTCCTCAGAGTTATGACTTGGGTCGGTCTCCTTGAGCCTCCGCCTCCTCATCTGTAGGACAGAGATGGTGTCGTCTATATCTCAAGTGATTCTCATGAAAAACAAATAGAAGGTGCCTTTTCTACCAAAACCTGCAAATAATCATGGTCTCCATTTCTAAATTTATTTAAAATCATGACCTGGGTTGGGCATGGTGGCACACACCTGTAATCACAGCTATTTGGGAGTTTGAGATGAGGGGATCCCTTGAACTCACAAGCTTGAGACCAGCATAGGTAACATAGTGAGACCTCATTTCAAAAAATAACAATAATAATATTAATAACAGAAGTAAAACTGTGATAATCTGGCAAATTTGACATTCCCTACACCCCTTTCTGTTTTACTTTCTCCCTTGGCACTTTATCACCAAGTGAACTGTTACACTCTAAATGTAAGTGCCTTGAGGGCAGGCGTTTTCATCTATTTTGTTCTTGCTCCATTCCTAGCAAAGTGTCTCACACCAAGTATGTGGTGGACAGCAGAGGAATGAGTGACTCAAGCACTCACTATGTGCAGGTGCTGCCCTAAGCGCTTTCCCAGATCACCTCCTCTGTGGTGGGGTCAGGTACTTTGAGGACCTCTCCTTTTGAAGACACTAAGTGACCCACCAGATCAGCAGCCTGGCTAGGATTGGTTTCCAGAGAAGCCTATCCTGTTGATCACTTGGTTCTATTTCCTCTCCTGACCATTAGCTAAATTTCTTGAATCTGTCACCCTATTTCCCTGAGGCCATCACACTCCTTCTGTCCTGAGGCCACCAGCCCGCCCAACACTCACTCACCTGGCTGGGCCATTTTCATCTCCTGTGCTTCACAGCCCTAAACCCTGTTGCTCCTGACCTCAGGGCCTTTGCTTATGCCTTGCCTGGAATGCTCTGGCTCTGGCCTCCTTCCATTCACTATTTTCTTCTCCCATTCCTCTGCAATACCAAACCCCTCATACACACCACATTTCTTTTTTTTTTTTTTTTGGCGGAACCGGGGATTGAACTCAGGCTGTCACGCTTGCCAGGAAAGCCTTTATTCTACTGAGCCATCTCCCAGGCCCCCATACCACATTTCTTAATCCAATTTTTAGTTTGCAATTAGGAACATGGCTTTCCAAGCTGGATATGGAGGTATATTCCTATAATCCCAGCATTCTGGGAGGCTGAGGAAAGAGAATAATAAATAGAAAGTTCGAGCCCAGCCTGGGCAACTTAGTGACTTACTAAGAACCTGTCTGGGAAAAAAAAAAAAAAACAACTGGAGATGTTCCTTGTAAAAGCCCTGGGTTCAATTCCTAGTGACAGCAGAAAAAAAAATTTATTTTATTTTATTTATTTTTGCGGAACCGGGGATTGAACTCAGGCCCTTGCGCTTACCAGGGAAGCACTTATTCCACTGAGCCATCTCCCCGGCCCCTGAAAAAAAATTTTAAACCCATCACTTTT